TGACTCTGGGCCTGGTGTGTTAGGGCCCTTAGACCAATGGGCCATCCTCACAAATGAAACTCTGAATTCAGTAAGAACTTAAATGGTTACATGTTTAGAGGATCCTACCTTGACTTTGAGAAACACCCACTCACTGACAGCGGCTGATGGTCAGCTTTTGGCATGGTGCGTCAGAGTCCTTTGAGCAACAGGTCATCCTCACAAATGAAAGTCTAAATTCAGTCAGGAGTTCAATGGATACATGTTTGGAGAAGTTCCAGCTTTCAAAGCAGCAACACATTGCAGTAATGTGTCCAACACATCTGTGGGAAAGTGATTTGAGGACTGATGACCTCTTTTGAAAGTTGTCGGTATAGCACTTCCAATAACCCATTGGTTGGGCTAAAGCTCATTTGTCCAATTTGGGGTTCGAACCCACGACCCTGAGATTAAGAGTCTCATGCTCTACCTAACAAATGAAACTCTAAATTCAGTCAGGAGTTCCATTGTATACACATTTAGAGAACTTCCAGCTTTCAAAGCAGCAACACATTGCAGTAATATGTAAACTCATACTTTTTCTAGACTTTTTCCTGGGGGAGGCTGTTCACAACTACTATAAGTCAAGACTATGATGTCATGAATTTCAGTATGTGTTTGTCATAGCAAGAACTACTTTTTCAAGCAGATTTCATGCAAAGACATGGGGTTCTAGTTTCCCAGAGCAGCGCAGGGTGGCGCAGGGTGGCGAACCCCGTGCAGAGCTAGTTTCGAGCAGCGCAACCCGAGGCGCGCTGAGTTTGGTAGTTTGGCAGACCGAGGTGTGCTAACATGGGTGTGGCGGCGCAGCAAGGGGAGGGGTCGACAGATCCAGCTTGGCGCAGTGACAGTTTCGTGCCCTAAGGCTTCGCCGAAGGTGCGCTAAAAGCTCGCCAGCTGAAACCAGGTCTACTGTCAGCGCAGGCAGAGTGCAGCCGGTACAAGCCGAAGTTTGACTGACCGGCAGACAGTGCGCACACGTCACCAAAACCTCAAAGGCAGGTTTCCAGAATATCAGGCACATTAACTATGCAATAAATACCCAAAAAAAACACTATTCAATGCAACTATCTGCAATCAGCACATAAAGGTATCTCTATATCGACTGTCCCGTCACATCTGATGTCAGATCAAAGGGGATTGGCACCGTTTGGCACGCTTGGCACGCGTAATTGAAACCCAACCTGATTTGATTAACACAGCTGCAAACTAATGAGTTCACATCCCTCTCAGCCAACCACAAACAGACACAGCATCAGATAGGAAGTATATATTCAGCATCTGTCATCTTAGAAAAGTCAAAAGAAAAGAAACACAGTGAGACTGCGAGAGAGAAAGAGAGAACGTGCGCGCACGAGAGAAATGCAACATTGATTTACAATTGTGGTGACCTCCTCCCAGGCTACCTTTGCCTCATCAGCCCGTGGAGGTCTGCTCGCAGTTCCGTATATTAGGACACTGCAAGCATAGAACTTCCGGACCAAAACATCAGTTTCCTCCTGGGAGAAGTTTGGCCGTCTGACGCTGCTGCTCTCTTCTGCCATGGCGAATTGAGTAAACTCTCATTACGACTTCGCGCGGCGCATTTAAGGGCGAGGAGAGGGGCTCATTTGATTGGTGTGATGTGTGTAAAACCCTCTCCACCCACCCCTCCTCCCTCTTTCCGACTTGCGCAGGTAGGGGGGACGGAGGTGGGAAAGAGGAGTAGCTGCGCCAGGTGCACAGTGTGCCAAACTTGCAAAATCCGCCTGGCCACACCCAGTTGGCGAAACGCAGGTGCGTTGCGCCCCCGCCTCGCCCGGTTTGCGAAACTAGAGCCCATGATGTTATGTTGTTAATGCCACTTGAATTTCTTACCATTCAGCATTATTTTAGGAAAACATCAATTCTATCAATGCTGGTATGCTTGGTAAGAAGACACAAGCGTTGGTGGTAATGATAAAATATGATGAAATAAGCTCTCTTAACAAATATTGTAAATGTCCTAGTTCCTACTACTATTTTCAAATACAAATCCATAAAAGTTCAAATTGTTGCTTGTAGTGCTACTATGAAAGTCAATCAGTTAATAAGTTGGTTAAAAGTAAATTAATTTCCATGATTTTGATGATCCATTAAGTGTTTCAGTCATTTTTCAAGCAAAAAAGTAAAACATTTGCTGCTTCGTGCTCCTTGAATGTAAGAATTTGATGCTTTTTTTGTCATTTATGAGAGTAAATGAAGAGTCTTTTTGGTTTTGGACTGGTGGTTGGACAAAAGAAGGAAATTAAAGATGTTACTTTGGGTTCTGGGAAATTGTGATGAGCACTTATAGAATCGATTAATTGTGAAAATTATTGGACGACTAGTTGATAATGAAAATAATTGTTAGTTGCAGCCATTGTTGCTTGTGTAGAATATTTCAGTAATTTTCAGAAATTTCCATCCCTGCTAATCTTGCTCTCCTCCCTCCTGCGGTGAAACTCCATGACAAAACTGAGGTGTCACCAAGCCTAGTGAACTCCTCCTCAGCTCAATCCAAACTCAGACCTGCACTGCTTTAATAACAGCAGAATGAATGTCAGTGACAAGGTTCTGTGCTGTGCTGCGTCTCTACCATTAGACTTTTTATTTTGTTCATTCTTCAGAAGATGTCAATACAGGCACTGTCTGATTCTCTCTTCCTTTCTTCTTTTTGCAGCTTTCAAGAAAGAGGACAGCGGCTTTGATGAGGTAGGATGAAAACAAGTGAATTTTAGGGAGCTTGTGACATCACTGGCCCAGTTTCAGGCCTATACCAAAGTTATGTACGCTGTATTTTTCACTAAAATTATTCATCAAGGTCTTGTTGGCCAGATGTTGTCAGGACTGCATTGCAGTTGATTTTTTTTTGGATGTGGATCCTGCTGTTACTCAGTGCATATAGTGTGTAATATATTCATGTGTGAAGCATGGTGGTTTTCCCTCTCATCTCAGAGACGTCCCTTAGGGTCAGTCGCCATCACAGGGCTTCCCTGGCTGGCCAATGAGACACCACCAAATGCACCAACCAGATTCACTCTGTATGAGTATACCCAGGGCACCAGACTTGTTTCACAGCCATCCCACAACTGCCTTGAAACTGACTGAAATGCAAAATCCTCATTTTTCATACTTGTAAATGATCTGTCTCTGTGGAAATGCATTGTTAAAAAGTGTGGTCAAACAGCAGAGAGTGGTTAGTCCACACATAGTGAGCTAATGACTAAGGACGGTTAAAAATGTTTACAGTTTGATAGCTGAGGTTTGTGCACATTTATGGCCACTGCCATTCTTTTTGAGCAGGCCATTATGCATTATGATGCAGCCATGTGCCTAAAATTCCTAAAAACACCCTCACTCCCCTGATCCGGGCTCAGTGGAAAAATTCAAGTTAAATGGGTGAAATGTGGTGTGTAAATGTGCCAGGTGCATGGCATATTAAAAAAAAAAAAAAAAAACATTGCTTTCATGTGTTTAAAGTGGGAGACTGTTTAACTCCCAGCATCCTCAATATCATTTTAAGGGGTTGATTTACTGTGGATGCTGCAAAGCTTTTTTTTGGATGCTAATGAGTATGGTAGCATTTGTGTCTGTTTGCTGTATGGTCACACCAGTACTTGTGATGGCAAATGGACAGAAATGTTAATAAAAATTGTTAAAGCAATATGTATTTTACAACATTTTACAACCAACTCAATGTGATTAATTTGTGGTTAGGTTTAGGCCATAGACTGTATAAGTAATGGACATAGCTAGGCCCGTGACGTCACCCACTAGTTTGTAGAATCCTGTTTTGGAGCCTTGAATTTGGTATTTTAGCCATTGCCATATAGGTTTTTTGGAGTCAGAAGTGTACATATTTGGACAAGAGGGTGGAGGAGCGAGGGGTGTCACTCAGATCGCCAGTGTTATCTGTTTTCTTCCGGCAACAAGCAAAGCTCTCACGAAATGACGTCACAGCCCAGAGCAAGTGAAGGGTAAGAGAAACGCTTAGTATGCTATTTACAGAGATAACACTGGCGATCTGAACAGGTCAGTGGCGAAAAAAAAGCACTTTCAATGCGCAAACTTATACGGGACGCATTTGCCCCCGTTACCGTTTGAGCTCGTTTCGCGGCTGCCGGCTGCATCCGCCTCCCTCAATACTGAGCCAATTTTAGAATGTGTTGTACCTATGAATCATACACACATATACACATGGGGAAATAGGGCCCAGGTTGAAAAATACCAAAGTTATCCTTTAACCGTGCAGCCCCAATAGTGTTTATGGACTTAGCAAAGTTGTTGCATGCTTGGCTGCTGCAGCAGCTCTAGAGTGTCTTCCCTATCCGTGGGCAGTTTTATGATATCAATCAATCAATCAATTTTATTTATAAAGCCCAATATCACAAATCACAATTTGCCTCACAGGGCTTTACAGCATATGACATCCCTCTGTCCTTATGACCCTCGCAGCAGATAAGGAAAAACTCCCCAAAAAAA